TTGGCATCTAATAATTACATTGAATCCGATTAATTCAGAATTGAGCCGCATCAAATCTTATTAGAGATAAACTCTCTCAATACATATTTTTTTATTTATAAGGCTTGAATTCAAAATTTTATTTAAAAAGAATTGAATTCATTTCACTCGAATCAACAAGTTGTTGATAAATATATTTACTTATTTAATAATATGTAATTATTATATAAAAAATATTCCTATATCACCACTCTAATACAAAAAAAAAAAAAAAATGTTACCCTAAGCAATAGTTCAACCAATTATGACAAAATATCATTAAAAAGCTTTGTAAAATTCGTCGGAGGGAATCCAGATGGAGGTGTTACATCTTCGGCTTGTATGTCTAAGTTCGTCCTCGTTTAGGTGGGAAATTAGTCGGCGACCTGCATAAAAGTCTGTGTGCTTTTGAGGAGAAAAAACTTTAAAAATATATATATTTGAAAGTTATTTTTTAGAAAATGTAAAGAAATTTTTTATTAATTGAACTTATTTTCTATTAATTTATTTGTTAAATGATTATCAAATATCAAAAAATATAAAAAAAATTTACAAAAGTGATTTTTCACAAATCAAACAAATTATAAGAAAAAAAGACAACAGTTACTCTATTGATGAGAAAATAAATGTATAAAATAGCAACATTTGGGACAATAAAAAAAAGAGGAAAAAAAAGAAAAAGAAAAAAGGGAGAACTTATTTTCTCTTTTGGTAATGTTGCTATTTTTTTTTTTTCTGCCATTAGCTAGTTTTGAAGTTATATTTAGATGTAAAAATTAAAGTTAAACTTATACAATAAGCGAATTTATGATTAGATTTGAGTGTTTGCTTTCTTTGCAATTTTCTATTGATTGGTGAAGGAAACGACCTTTTTGTAGGAATGAGTAGCAAATAATGTTGCCTCCCTTGTTCCATCCAAATTTTATTGATTGATTCATGGCAACCATTTCGTCAACTTGCTTGCCATTCTTAAGCTAGTTGGGACGTGCAAGCAAGTCTTACATCTTATTAAGCTTGTTGTTACTTGTCTATGTTATGATTGCTTCATGCTTTTCTTTGGGGAAATGTTTTCCGTTAACTTTTCTTAAATGAAAATTTTGAAAAGGTATTCAACAACTAGCTGGAGTAGCTCAGTTGGTTAGAGCGTGTGGCTGTTAACCACAAGGTCGAAGGTTCAAGCCCTTCCTCTAGCGATTATTCAAATTATTTTTATTCTTTTCCCCTTTGCCAGCATATGACTGCCACCAAACACGTCCTCTGATCCTATTATTTCTTCTAAACTAATGAAATGCAGTAAGTAGCATACTAGCATCATACCTGTACTCAAGTTTCTAATGAATTCATCTGCATCACTCCACAAAGTCTTCTAGATATAACAAAATCAAACACAATAAAGCTACCTTGTTAGCCACGGTAGCTTTTGATAAAAACATGTTTTGTTGAGGATGGCAATCCCTTTATTATGAAGGAATCACAAGTACAACACCACAAATCTTCCTGATGAAAAGTATCCTCTCACTGGATAAAAGGCAAAGACAAAACTTTCAGTATTTTCCTCTCCATGAATACCACTTCAGCTTCAATTGGTACCATGATGGAGGAATGCCAAGAATCCCTCTTGCTAGCCTTGAGTCAAATACATCAAATTGTACCTGACTGAGAGTGTCCAAGAGAACTTGAGCAGGCAAAGCTGGCAGAAGCACCTTACGAACCTCAACAGGTACACTGCTTGCTAACTCACGAGCTTTCAGCAAATGGGAATTGGCAACTGATGCCATCTCAAAAACTGCATCACATAATCCTTCACGAGAATCCAAGCAGATTTCTGTACGACCTCCCTCCTTAACCAACAATCCGTGCTTTGCTGCCACTTTAGCTGGTATATAAGAAAAAAGTTGATTGCGACTAGCATGATATGGCAGAGATTTGAGTAGTAATAGAAGACCACTTGCCTTGCCAACATGAGATGCAGCATGGTCAGCTGCTGTAGACCTAATACCACCAGCTTGAAGTGTCATATATAAGAGAGTTGACACAGTGTCCTCAGCATATTTCTCCAACTCCTCAATACTTTCAGGGAAGTCAGCTTCCTCTCTCTTTGCATCATTAATCCGAGCTTCAACAGACCTTCTGATCCACGCCTTGCTAATTTTATTCTCAGACATCACTGATGCAAGAGCCTGTGCTGTCGGGTGCTCAATTAATTTATTGGCATAAATTTTGTCAATGGCTTCTTGCCACCAGACAAGGCGCATGAGTCCAATCCTGGGATCAGAAGCAACATCCATGGCTCTTGCAGTTTCCACATTGAATGCACGGAGTGCAAATGCAGCCTTCCGCATATTAGGAGGCAGTTCAAGGAGGCAGAGGTAGTGATGGTAATCATAGCTTCGTACTTGCTGTACACAGTGTGAGAAAGCTGCCCGTAAGCTACTGGAAGCACCGCTCATCAAAACTGAACTGCGGTTCCTCCTACAAGAGATAATGAAAATTAAAACCAAATCTCTCAACAAAAGTTTACTAAGATCTTAAAAACCAAAATGTGTCAAATGCAAGTAGTCCCATTTTACATTTACTCAATTCATTCATCATTCAACGGCTAAACATGATTTCTTGAATCCTATTCCAAATGATTCCTGGATTTGGATCAATCAATCGAATAGCAAGAACAGAAAAAAGAAAAGCGAATGGGTACTTGATTAACAACTGTAGATGCGTGCTATACTGCTAGAAGGCCACTAACGGAATACCAAGGAACAAATTTATACATATCATAATGCATTCTTAATGAAGCACATTTCTCACAGAAATTATATCAAACAGATACAGGGCATTACAAAGCCGACTCATTGCTGCCATTAACAGAATCTAAAAGATCGAAAAGCAAAGAAATTTAATCTTACACAGAGAAATTAAGAAGAGGGGGGTGAAACTAGAAAACTTACCAGGACTGGTGCACCAGGGTACTAATCAACGAAGCGAGCAAACCAATGTTTGTGTTTGTGGAATTGGATTCCACAGCAGTAACGGGGGAGGAAGTTTTGGGGAAAATAGCCTATTTTGACCCCCCCTAAACGACGCCGTTCAGCTCAATTGCAAGTCTATTTTGTTTCTTTCCTTTTGAAGTGGCCAAAAAAACAATTTATTCTGCTTCCTGGTCAGAGGGAATGACCTCACACACAGGTCCAAGGGCTACTGAGAGAGTAGAGTTGATGGAGCATTCAGAAGAAGCATATGTGAATTTTTAGTAGATGTGGTGGTTAAAACAGCTGCACTGGGGTGGGGATTGTAACTGGATGCAGAATGTTTATCAAGGTTGGAATTTTCAATCCAAGGAATGGGAACTGAACGATTAGATAGATTTAATATTAATTATTATTAAAAAAAATAAAAATTAATATTAATTTTAACATCAATAATAAAAATTATTTTAATTACATAATTTATTAAATAAAAATTAACTTTTCTTTTTTAAAAGCAATTAATTTTAAAAAAATAAATTATTACACCTTGATAATGTATTTGAATTACAAGATAAAAATAACTAAATAAATTTTTTAATTAATTAAATTATAATATTTTTAAAATAATATAATTTAATTAATAAAAAAAGTTTACTCCCCCTTCTATTTCCTTCAATCCAAATTCAAATATACGGTTAGACTATAGCCAATGGGTATGTTAAAAAGGATCCACGAATTATAAGCCTCAAAAACTTTCAACAGAAAGTTCTATAAATTAAATCCATTCAAATTCACACCGCAACGTACAGTTGTCTGAATTGGAACCAAAAATAAAAAACTTAGAAGAAAAATGGAAGTTTCTTCACATTTATCTGAGCTGGACGATTCCAGCAGCGACCAGCTTCTGGATCTTGGTCATTACCATTGGGTTCTTCGTGTGCTCTTGAGCAGCCTTTGGATTCTCCTGGAAATCAATCAACACCTGCCCAAGACCCAATTTGTCGTGTAAGGAAAGCCATAACACACAAAATAGATTGAAGACCACATTACAGGTACCAAGAATTTCAAATCCTTACCTGTCGCATAACAGGATCAGAGAGAATGTTCTGAATCTCAGGGTCTTGCATTGCCTTGGCCTGCAATATCAGAGGCTTTGATCAGAACTGCATCCAAACAGCTTTCATCAGTCAATCTCAACAACAGCTAGTTATGGAAACTCTTACCTGTCTCTCCTTCAACTCTTCAGGGCTTAAATCACCACGGTTAGCCTTGTTAATCTGATCCACACATCTGCAAATTGATTGAGAGAAACGATTAAGGAACGAACTCCTTTTGAGGTGAAGAAAGATTAAATTCTGAAAAGGGGGCAAGGTGGATACCTTCTAACACCATCAAGCAATTCCTGGTTATTAGGATCATGTTTCAACCCTTCCCGGTATGTTTCTAAAGCCTTGTCATATTCTTTCATGAAGAACTGCACAGCACCCTTTCTATTGTACCCCTTAGAAAAAGTCGGATCAAGTTCAATGCACTTCTCAGCATCTTTCAGTCCTTCTGGCAATGCACCAAGCTTTGTGTAGCATGCAGCTCTGTTACTGTATGCCTGAAAAACGAAGATGAATTTTCACAGCCAATGAGCTATAAATGTTTAATGCACCAAAAAAGCAAACCTTCATAAAAATTGAAAGTAAAGTAAGACCTTAGGATCCTCAGGGTTTCGTCTAATTGCTTCAGTATAATGCTTAACAGCTTCAGGATAGTTCTGCTGCTTGAAGTATTCATTCCCTGCATACGTTCAAAGACCAACAACAAAGCAATCAGCAGATAAACATGACCAAACAGTTCAAGTAAAGCCATATATCTCCCTCACTTGAACTAAAGTCAAGTTTTCCCTCACTTCAAACATCAGTTGAATGCAGTGCACTGAGGTTAAAGGTGTTTTTTTTTTTTTCACTAGACTTGACTCTTTAGTCATTAAGATGGAGTAATCAGGAGAAAAAAAAATACCTTTCTCACGCTCTTCATCAGCTACATGTGGATCAAAATACTCTTGCTGCTCTAGTTCCTTCTTTGCTCTCTCAGCGTCATTTAGTTTCTTCAAGGTGTCTGGGTTGCGATGTTCAGTAAGAGCTTTCTGGAATGTCTCAATGGCTGGTTCATAATCTTTGGAGCATTTAGCCATTTTCACTAAAGCAGTTCCCTTTCTAGTCAAAGCCCTTGCTATCATCTTAAAGTCAAATCTGAGCTCTCTACCTCTCTCCACAGCCTGGTCACAATCTTTAATGCATTCCTCATACTGCATATCAAAGTAACATGTTAGATAAGAGGATATACAGGAACCAACAAATTATATACTGCAAACCTGTTGATTGAAGCTGATAAATTAGGAATTTCCTTCTTTTTGTAGTTCATATTGGAAACATTTTTTGAGCTTCTCCCTCCTCATTACCCCCCCCCCC